GAGCTGGGTCTTTGGTTTCCCCAGGGATTCTCGGAGTCGGGCTCCAGGTCCCAGAGCAGTGTGATAGGATGTCCGTGCTCTCTACCCTCTTCCCAGAGCAGTGCGGGTGGAGGGCGGAGTGCACAGGCAGGCTGAGGAGTGAGGGAGGCTCTGGGTAGCGGGAACAGCCAGGCTGTGCCTTCCCACCCCATCCAGAGTTTCTGGAATCCCTGGAGCCCGACCTGCCGGCTCTGAGAGCCATGGGGCTTCACCTGTGGGCTACGGGCCCTGAAACCCACCCCGCTGGAACCAGCGATTTGCTGGCTGAGGCATCAGCTGAAGAGGATGGCCCCCTTCCAGGGTACCTGTCTGCCCCGCAGAACATGACGGACACGTGTCTGTACATCTTCACTTCTGGCACCACAGGTGAGGGCCCGACACCCTAGCCAGAAACTACGGCAAGGAAGGCCGGGATCAGGGAACAGGAACTGTGACTGCCTCAGCTCCCAGATCACCCCAGAAAGACTGGGGGCGTTTCTCACCCCCCCCAACTTCTCCATTTCTCATCTTTCTCTAACTTCTCACATTTCCTGCCAGCCTAGCCTCCCTCAGCTTCAGTCTAGCCCCTGCATCCTTCTGTGGGAAACCCAGCAGGGCACAGGAGACAGGGCTGGGAACACACACCCTTCCCTGCTGACCGCCCCCCCCAAACCCCCACAGGCCTCCCCAAGGCTGCCCGCATCAGTCACCTGAAGATCCTGCAGTGCCAAGGGTTCTACCAGCTGTGTGGTGCCCACCCAGAGGATGTGATCTACCTGGCCCTTCCTCTCTACCACATGTCTGGCTCCCTGTTGGGCATCGTGGGCTGCCTGGGTATTGGTCAGTACAGTGACATTCCAGCAGACATTTACTAAGTGGTGTGCTTAGCTGGGAGTGCTTCCGGGTCCTTCTGGGTAGAGCCCGCAGAGGAAAGAGGACAGAGACATTGGCTTCTCCCATGCAAGGGTGGGGGCCAACTTGGCCTGTCCAAGGTGTGGCTGTCCCAGCTGGGACAGTCGGAGGGACTGCACCGCATGAAGGCTGTTGTCCCGAAGGGCCTCACCTCCTCTTCCTTCCCTCCCTACTCTGGCAGGGGCCACAGTGGTGCTGAAGTCCAAGTTTTCGGCTGGTCAGTTCTGGGAGGACTGCCAGCAGCACAAGGTGACGGTGTTCCAGTACATCGGGGAATTATGCCGGTACCTTGTCAACCAGCCCCCGGTGCGTGGGGCAGGGAGACGGCAGTGAATGGGAGACATGACGGGCCTGCTTGTCTGGGCGCTGGAGGGAGAGGACGCAGAGAGCAGAAGACGTCAGGATGGGGAAGGACCTGGGCTGGCGGGACGCCTGATGCCTGCAAAGGGGGTGGCGGTGGGAGAGGTTTCTGGGGAGTTGGGAAAAGGACTTGACCTGGGGCACAGACACATCTGTTGAAGTAGCCCCTCCCCTACTCACCAGAACAAGGCAGAACAGGGACACAAGGTCCGCCTGGCAGTGGGCAGTGGGCTGCGCCCCGACACCTGGGAGCGGTTCCTGCGGCGCTTCGGGCCCCTGCAGGTGCTGGAGACATATGGACTGACAGAGGGCAACGTGGCCACTTTCAACTACACAGGACAGCGGGGTGCTGTGGGACGGGCTTCCTGGCTTTACAAGGTGAGGGGGTGGGCGGACAGGAGAACCCCTGGAAAAACAGGGGGCTGGTGGGGCAGGCGCTTGTGCAACTGAAGTGACCTGGGGCTGGGTCTCCATCCCCCCAGCATGTCTTCCCCTTCTCTTTGATTCGCTGTGATGTGACCACAGGGGAGCCGATTCGGGACACCCAGGGGCACTGTGTGGCCACGTCTCCAGGTCCTTGCGCAGGCCGGTGGGCTGGGGTGGCGGAGCCTCAGGGAGGGGTTAGAGCACGGGGGAGGTGGGCGCCGGGGTCTGACCGGGTGACGCTGCCAGGTGAGCCCGGGCTGATGGTGGCCCCCGTGAGCCAGCAGTCCCCATTCCTGGGCTACGCCGGGGGGTCGGAGCTGGCCCACGGAAAGCTGCTCAAGGACGTCTTCCGGCCTGGGGACGTGTTCTTCAACACCGGGGACCTGCTGGTCTGTGACACCCAAGGCTTTCTTCGCTTCCACGATCGGACCGGAGACACCTTCAGGTACCCCAGACGCCTCTGCACCCCCCAGCCCAAGTCCTCGCTGACTGGTTCTCCTGCCGCCTAGCACTGCTCCCTGGGCCCCGTGGGCCCCTGACCCCTCTCCCCACCAAGTTCAAAGGACTCTGGCCTCTGACTCCAGCTGCCAGTCTCTGCTCTCTGCAGGTGGAAGGGGGAGAACGTGGCCACCACAGAGGTGGCGGAGGTCCTGGAGGCCCTGGATTTTCTTCAGGAGGTGAACGTGTATGGAGTCACCGTGCCAGGTGCCTGGGCATGGGGGGGGGGTGGCACCAGCCACCACCTTAAGTATAATAGTTGGGCGCAGGGGGCACGGGGCCCGCAGTGGTCTGCCCGGGGTGACCCTGTCCCCCACACCCACCAGGACACGAAGGTCGGGCTGGAATGGCGGCCCTGGTTCTGCGCGCCCCCCACTCTCTGGACCTTGTGCAGCTCTTCACCCACGTTTGTGAGAATTTGCCGCCTTATGCCCGACCTCGATTCCTAAGGCTCCAGGTAGCCAGCCCCTCCCCTATATCTCTGGCTGTCCCTGGCTCCCACAAGGGGGACCCCTGTACCATACATGTGAAAAGAAAGCAGCTCCTGCCCAGACACACTCATCACCCGTCGTTGCTACACCCCCACTCCTGACTCCCTCCCTGGCACCACGGCCCCTGAACCCTGACCTAACACTTAAACCCCTGTCCCCACACCTGCCCCTTAACGAAATTTCCTTTCCCACCCACCCCTGCCCTTGCCCCAGGAGTCTCTGGCCACCACAGAGACCTTCAAGCAGCAGAAGGTTCGGATGGCAAAGGAGGGCTTTGACCCAGGGGCACTGTCGGACCCGCTGTACGTCCTGGACCAGGCGGGGGCTGCCTACCTGCCCCTCACAGCTGCCCGGTACAGCGCCCTCCTGGCCGGGGAGCTGCGCATCTGAGAGTCCTCACCGCCAGCGCAATTCGGGGAAGGGTTTGGGGGGGCTTTTACAGGGGTACAGCAGCAGTCAGGGGTCTTTTCTATACCAGATTTGTGATCACTGCCTTGTAATAAATGGGGCCAGAGCTAGTGTGGCTGTCTTCCGACCTCAGTACTCGGCTCCCTGTCTGGGGGGCTGCTTTGCCTGCTGACGTTTTCCTGGCATGGAGCTGCGGGCACTCACTCCTGCCCTGACCCTGTGGGCCTCCGTGGTCTGGGGTGTCTTTCCACTCTGGTGACCCAGAGGGTCTTTGAAGTACCCTGGTCCTGGTGTGTGCCCGGGCACCCATCCCTGCCTCACCCCCCAGGCCAGGCCCACTGCTCTGTCTGGGCAGCTGAGGCACAGGAAGGGGACCGTGGCCAGTTGGAGCATCTCCATAGACTGAGGTGTGGATGGACAAGGGGTCACCAACAGGCACTCACCAAGGTTGATGAGGGGGGAAAGGGTGCTTTTAGCACCCCTTCTCTCTGGGAACCAGTCAGTGAGGGGAAGGACAGGGCCACTGAGCCCCCCAACTGGATCACCCACGAATCTTACACCTTCTCAAAAGGAGCAGCCCTGGTCAGGGCTGGGAGTGTTTCAGAAGCCTCTCAGACTGCGCGTGTGTCCAGGGCACGCGGGTGTCCAGAGTGCTTGTGGCAGCGGGGAAGGGAACTGAAAGGAAAAAGGCCCCTCTACGCACTGAATCAGGCCTGGAAAATGTTCATCATCTAAAAGCTTGAAATGATGAGATGCTTCTCCCAGAACAAGAGTCCCCTCTTGTTTTAAGCTGTAGGACCCCAACCTTTTCTTTCTTTCTTTTTGTTTTAAAGATTTATTTACTTATGCATACAGAACTGGGGCACAGGCCAGAGGTGCAGGGACAGGAGGTGAGAGGAGTCACCAGAGACAGGGGGAGCTGGACAGGCAGATCTACCAAAACACTACTGAGGGGAGCAGCGGGCAAGACAGAAGTCTCTGCGCCATATGGGTCACCTCTGGGGCCGGGATCACCCTTGTGCTGAGGTGCCGGAGCCCAGCTTCGTGGTGCTGCACTGTTATTAACCCATTGCATCACCAGGGAGGGTCCAAGGTCCTCAACACTTTCTGCTGAGCCAAGGGTTCCCTCGTCTTCCAGGGTCTTAACCTGTAAGAGAAGTCAGGGACACACCCACCACCAGCCCTGGGTAACCCTTCTTACCCCACCCTCCTGCAGCACATGCACCCCACCCTGACAGTGAGGGAATTGGCCTATTCTCTCCTATCCACCCCTGGAGGGGCCACAGGCAGGGTATGCGTGGGGTGAAGTCATTTTGGAGATACTGGGCTCAGAGAGGGCTCCTTGCGTTTGTGCTGGGAAGTTTCACCTGTCTCCCTTTCAGCGGCACCTGCACGTTTCCCAGGCCTTTCTCCACCACACAGACATTAGTTATCCAGAAGGCAGGTTTATAAAAGGTTTATTATAAAAGGGGTGGGGGAGACACTTTGCACGCACGTGGGCAGGAAGAGCTGCTCCCAGAGGGACAGGTTTGCTGAGAGAGGCCTGCCTGGTAGCAGGCCGTCAGCCTTGAGGAGAGCGGCCTCTGCTGAGGGAGGGCCGGGCAGAGAAGCCCCTGCAGGTACCTTCTCTGGCAGGCAGGAGGCAGAAGGACAGGGCTGCAGAGGCAACAGGGGACAGGCTGCTGCCCTGCCTGAGCAGAGACAGAGCAGAGGGCAGGCCTTCTCTGTGGGAGGGCGCTCCTTTGTGGACTGGCTTGTTGGTAGTTGATTTGGATTATTATGTAGAATTTGAAAGGGTCCCCAGATCCCACGATGGCCCTCCCCCTCCTTATCTCCACCTCTGTGGTCGGGTGGGCACTCCATGACACTCTTCCACACTTTGCTCGGGCCTGCCTTGGGCCTCCGATTCTCAGTCCCTATAGCTGGGTTAATGAGTGGTAACCCTTTCTACCCCTTTCTACCCCCAAGCATGTGTGAGCTCCTCCTCCCTACGGATCCTGCTGCTGCCTTCTTACAACCTGAACTTGCCCTGATTTCCAGAACTAAGAGTTGAACTGCCACCTCACCCTTTTGGACTCGCAGACTGCTGGGGGGAAAGGATTTCCTGAACAAACCCCACAAACAGAGTTTATGGACCCCACTGCCACCCCAACCCCAGGCCAAAGAGATCCAGGATACCAAGGCCTACAAATCCCACAATGTCCCCAATGGGAGGATGCTGGGAACTGAGGGTGGAGCTAAGCAGCCAGGCATGTGGGTCTTGGGGTCCTTATTTGGTCTCCAACTTTCAGTGTGCTACTGGGGTTCTAGCTCAGTGAAACTTGCAGGACACGTCCAGCAACTTATCACTTTCTCTTTCTCCCTGAGATATTCTTTTCTTCATTTCCCTTATTACCCTTTTTGCGTGCACCTTGCAGTTGAATCTCATTATAAGTTCCTTGTAAGCATGCAGGTGAGGACCCACAGTCAGACAAGTGGTTTCCTGTCCAGGTGCCCTGTACAAGACCAAGCTCTTGTCTCTATAGTCACTGTTTCACCTGCTCTAACTCTGCACTGCCCACGCTAGCTAGTCTGAAGCAAGAGGCACTGTAAATAAAAATCCATACCAAGTTTCAAAGCCTTAGTAACCTACCCCAACATTTAAATATCCCCTTGTTAGCATTTCAACATCTAAGCAATATAAAACAATTTTGAGTACATTGGATAAATAAAATATATTAAAATAAACTTTACTCTCACTTGCTTATTTTTACATATATATATGGCTACCAGAAGGTTTAGTATTACATGCGAGCCACATAATATGTGCTGAGCATCTCTGAACCTGTGTTTGAGTGTGCTTTAGCAAAGAGGGCCAGGAGGTGGGGGCTCTATTCAGTGGGGGAGCGTGTCAGTCCTCCAGGGAAGTCTCAGTCCATTGAAGCAGCATTGTCATTTGTCTCCGAGACTCTTGCAGGTGGTAGAAATTGAGAGCTGCAAGATGACAGACTTTTTGATGGGAAAGAATTGCTTCCATTTACCACAATAAATAAGAAAGAAAATACATTTTCAAAGAATTTCGTTTTCAAAATTCAGCTTTAAAAAATCCACTGACGGGGGCCCTCCCTGGTGGCGCAGCGGGTTAAAGCACAGCACTGAGAATCTGAAGCCACTTCCGTATGAGTTCGATTCCCGCCTGCCGCCTGCCCCGGAGGAGACCACATGGCGAGCCAGACCTCTCCTGACCGCCCGCTGCTCCCCTCAGCAGTGTACTTCGTCGATCTGCCTGTTCTGCTCCCCGCTCTGTCTCTGGTGAAGCCTCTCACCGCCCCTGAGCCTCTGGCCTGTACCCCAGTTCTGTATGAATAAATAAATAAATCTTAAAAAAAAAAAAAAAATCCACTGACGGGGCCTCCCTGGTGGTGCAGGGGTTAAAGTCTCAGTGCTATCAAGCTGTCACCAGCCACTGCAGCATGAGTTCCATCCCCAGCCAGGGAGCTGACCCACGTGGCGCAGCAGACCTCTCCTGTCCTGCCTGCTGCTCCCCTCAGCAGTGGGGTTCAGTAGACCTGCCTGCTCTGCTCCTCACTCTGCCCCCGCCCAAAACACACACCACTGGTCTATACCCCAGTTCTTTCATGCATAAAAAAATCCACTTAGGACCTCCCTGGTGACTTAGGGGTTAATTCTCAGTGCTATCACTGCCATGGTCTGAGTCACCACCCGGGAAGGTGACCCACATGGCACAGCCCTCTCTTCCCTCACCTGCTGCTCCCCTCAGCAGTGTATTTCAGACAAACTGTCTGTTCTCCCCACTCTGTCTCTGATGAATCATCTCACACCTCCTTTCACTCCCCTCACTACACAAAGTAAATAGTTCTTTTCTGCAAAATAAATAAATTAATTAAATTAATAAATAAAACTTAAAACTCACTTAAATAAAATTCAGCAGAATTGAGAGAAAATTTGCAAAGATGTGATGACTTGGTACCCAGGAGCTGAATTTCTTGTCTTGGAGACTGGAAAGCCACTTCTGTGGTTTGCACTTGGAGCAGCAGGTAATAGAACCAGAGAATTGATTCAGCGGACTTCAAATCCCAGCTTGGTCTGAGGGTGCCCCTGGTATTCAGGCACCTGTCCTTGACAAACAGAGGACCCAACCACCCAGGGCCCGTGGCACTGGGCCAGCAGGTACACACACACACACACTGCCTGGCGTTTGTTTTTATGGCAAGCTGGCTAAGAATGGTTTTCCTATCTCTACATGGTTGAAAAAACTCAAAAGAACGTTTCATGCCTTGTAATAATTATACGGGACTCACATGTCGGTGTCCATAAATCGCTTTATGAGCTGTCCACGCACATTCCTTTACTCTGTGTTACCTGTGGCTGTCTGTGTCTCGAGCACTGGCCCCCCTGGGAAGGTGGAGAGGCCCGTGGGGGTGGCCAGTTGCCTTCGCGAAAGCCCGGCTTCGCGACGCCGGCGCTAACGGGCTGAGACAGGTTGGTGGCGCCCAAGTCCCCGGGGCGCCGAGGAAGGCGGGCAAACCTGAGGAGTGGGAGGGGCCATCTCGCGTGGGCGGAGCCGGGACCTCCGCTACAGGAGCCCAGAGCAAGTTAGGGTTAATTAGGCAGTTTCAGGGGACAGCCCAGGCTGGGACTTCGGAGATTTAAAAGAGGCTTCTGCGATAAGGGCAGAGAAATTCCGGAGGGCTAGTGAGGACAGCCCATTTTAAGGCAAATAAGTAAGTAGAGAGAAGCAAACTTTATTCAAGAAAGTAAAAAAAAAAAAAGTCCATTTGGGGTAGAACAGTAGAAACACCTGTTCAGCTCCCCACTAATTTGGACAGTAAATTTTAAGAGACCTTGGGCAAGGGAGGTAAAAAGAGAAACTCTAAGGTAAGAATTGGGGAAAATGGGCACATCTGTCCAGAGAGGTATGCCCACCAGGTGAGAGAGCCAATCACAAATTAGGGTGATACGGCGTTTCCGTAGTATAGTGGTTTTCACGTTTGCCTCACACAAATTAAGGTGATGCTACTTTAGAATAGAGATAAGAGGGTTTAAATATCCTGTAGACGTGGGCCCTTAACAGAGTCTTTGCCCTCATTGACACTGCTGCCTTGAAGTCTTTGCTTTT